TTGTTCAAGCCAGTTATATGCAGTATACAGTATATACATGTAATAATCACTCTTTGTCAACGCATGCATTTGAAAACTTAATCAACTATAATCAAATGAACAGTTTTCAATAATCACATGTGAGCAAATGTCCTCCTCAGTCAAATCCTACACGGGTCACTAAGGGGCATTACTGAAATCAGAAAGTGAAATCTCTGGCTAGAATACTTCAATTGACTCACGGGATGAAGTTGTCATAAAACTGCAAATTTTCGCGAGATTTCCGTTTCAACAGCAGGATGATTTACTACAAAACGAAGCCTCGCTGTGAGCCATAAACGTCGACACTCCATTTAGCTCGCCCAAAACCCTGAGTTTATTATCCTGCTGCCCTAATATATTATTTGTTTTACAAGATAGATCTATAAATTTTGACAAAACAAGTTAAGATTTTGAGTGTTCGCAGACGCTGGTGCTGGGGTATAAAAAAGCCACGTGAGACTTGGCGAGATCTGCCGAGATCTCTTCCAGAAAACTGCGTTCGATTGGCATTTATTGCCAACCTATGTTACATATTTTCATAACTTACAAAGACCTTCTCTCGGAGCACACGTGGTTCTATTGCAATATCATTTACCAAATGATGTATGTTTATATCTTAGCGGTTTTTTGTGTAGATTTTTCTAGTATTTGATACTATCTGAAGAATAAATCGTTAACTTGTTGAAAATTAAACCTCCGAAGACGTCTTTCCGGCTTATCGTTATACTTTCATAAACTCTAATAAATATGACGTTTGGGGAAAATGAATGGGTTGTGTCTCACGGCTGAAAAATGAGGGAGGAAGCGAGAAATGAAAGTTCGCTACAACAGACTTTACTAGTCCTTCTAATAAGAAAGGCATCATAACGTTCTCCACGTTGTTTTCATACTTCTATAAATTTAAATCTGTTGATCTGAGTTTGAATTTCTTATCTGAACTTTTATCCGGGGTTTTCAGTTTTTATGAAAACATTGCAACAAGATACGGCGTTTCTCTCCAGATAACAGTTAGAGGGTTAGTAAGAGATGCCACTTTTCTCATTCATTTTGAAATAAGAGAAAAAATATTATTACTTATTATTACAGTTTTTAAAAAAAATAATGCTTTTTACATGTTTTATTTAAAAGGTTTAATGAAGGATATTGCATTTTGCACTACTCGATACAGCGTCTGCCTAATTGATTTACATCACTGCATTCGATTGACAGCCTGTTTTCAAATTCAATTTGAACATTCGCCAGTGCATCAGAATTGTTGAAATTTAATTTCAGCCCGTCAGCTTTCCATTTCAGATGAGGAGAAGTGTCGGTATAATATAGATAATTACTTCCTTCCACTAAAAGGCCTCGTGTGACGTCACATATTGACAGCTGATAAACTGGTTCTCACCTCCTGTCAACGCGGGGAATGACGTCATCCTTCAACATCTCTCTCTCTCTCTCTCTTTCTCTCTCTCTCTCTCTCTCTCTCAGCGATTCGCTAATAATTACTTGACAATGTCTAAGACCTAGTCAGTGCATTAGTTATAAATCTAAACTGCAATCTTTACCTGTTGTCTAAGTAATTAACCTCAGATCATTCTTTTTAACTACTATGTCATCTAACAACCGCCCACAAGGACATAAAAAATTAAAAACGTCTGTGTTTGTCATGTCCAATGACTCAGGAGAATACAGGAATGTCTGACTGCGTCTGTTGGCCTTAAAAGATTGATAATGTGTGCAGTTATTAAATTCAAATTTATTTATCAAGGACTCCATGTTTTGGACTCTAAACAGTTTTTTTTAGTATACGTCACAATTCGGAATTAAATTGCAACTTCTCGGGCTTTTTTTTTCAGACCATGTACCCGAGAACTTGTTGTACTGTCACCAAACATTCGGCCTCTGTCTGATTCAAACTCGGATTTTTTATTCTCTATAAATCTTTCCACCCCATAATATATATAATGAATAAGGATACATACAAATACTTATGTAAAACGAAATGGAATTAAAATGGAATTAATATTGCTATTTAAGAATGTCAGTGTTCATACATGAGAGTTTACACAACAGAGGCTCATTCTACTGGTTATGCAGCACCATCCTTTATCTGCTTTATGTATATCTGTATCTAATCTAATTTGTTTTAACAAGTGGCTATAATCAAACCTGATGATACAAGAGCGAAGGCTTTTATGTTGCACCGATTACACAATAAAGGGTCTATAATAGGCTTTTATTTGAAGCTTGAAGAAATGTAGCTGCTGCAGCGAAAATTTGGCCAAAGAATGTGATGAAAATAAAGGAAGGTGTTGGAATTCTTTCTTCTTTTTTTTTCCCATAGAATCTTTTGTCAGCTACACAAATTTCTAAAATTCATATAATCTGCATATTTTAAGCTTCCTTTTTAATTTGAAATCGATTATTGAGAAAAAAAATCTTTTTCTGAAACTGAGATGATACATTGTTCGAGAGAATTTAAACCGTTGACTTGTGGATGTCTGCCAATTCAAAACTTATTTTAGTTGTTCAAGTGTTATCGGTAAAAATTTGGTAAACAATTACGCTCAATTAACACGATATGTAAAAGCAGCGCAGATTGCGGTGTAAACTCTTGTAAACTGCAATATTATCAATTATCCCATTCCCTCTAATTGTTTGGACAATTAACCACTTAATGTCACATTTCTCTAGAATTCCCTGAAGGTGTAAGCGTAGAAATTGTTAAAGGTCATTATTACAGGTAAATCAAATATAAAAAAAACTTATAAAGCAGGTGACCTTTCGTCCTCTGGGCCCAGACCAATTTATGACCCCCACCCACCAAGCATTGGTTGGGGTTCTGTGCGATACTGACAATTTTTACGAGTGGGGCTTTTATCGGGCTTCTGCGATGACCAGTTAAGCCCCGGAGCCCATTGTCCGAAGTAAGACGTCAGCACCTGCTGTAATTAGATTATCATCTCCTTGTATTGCGGTCTAAATTGCCTTTATCAGTTTCAGGTTAATTGAATTTCTTGATTGTTGCTTTTAATTTTATTATACGAGACAGAAAGAATCCCTGATATTAAATTAAATGAATTGTTGCTGTTACACATATTTTTATGACGAGAGAGAGAGAGAGGGAGATCTTGTGATATCAATTCTAATATTTTTAGTTCAGATGAATTACAGATATGAAATTGTAACCCGTCCATTCAGATACAGAAACATTCAATTAAAATAGAATGCGACATGAAAAAAAAAAGCTAATTATTACAGCGAAGCGATTCCTAAACATGCCTCTTTGAAAATCTGCTAAATCGTATTCATGGCGGAGAAAAAAAGTGATTTAAAGCAAACACTGCAGAACTTTATTGGTTGGTTTAAATTTTAAGGACAAAACGCATTCATTCAACGCATAGGGGCCTCCTCCCAATTTATGGTGCTCTTTCATTCGAGATTCTTCTCTTTAATAAAAGCAAAACGTCTTTGAAATACGAAAAAAGCTGAACAAAAATTCAATTTCTGCTAGATTTAACACGAGTGAGATCAAAAGCCTGCGAATAAATCAAGTGACAAGTTTTTGTCAACCTTTATAGTGAATGAATGAAGCTAAATACCTGAGAGAGAGAGAGAGAGAGAGAGAGAGAGAGAGAGGAGGAGATTTATTATGATTTCCCGTTTCTTTACTATGCAAACTTTATAAATACACACAGACTGTTAAAAAAATCCCTCAGACAAAAGTTGTCAGATTGGAAAAGATTTAAGGGGACCCGAGTCAATGTGGTGACTTGACTAGTGCACCTATACATATACTTAGTCCTCTACATATTACATAGGGGGAAATAGTGTACGACTGAGCAGTTACTGCCGATAAAACCACACGTGGGACAGTTTTATTTAAAGATACCAAGCAACATCATCTACATAAATATTTTCCTTGTTGAGGAGGCATTGACAGCTTGTTTTTTACGGGCGTATAAGACTCCTTTTTTAAATTATATGTTTTAAATCTACGCGTGGTTTCTTGTTTTTAACACACTATTGATATGCCTGATCATTGTTTGTTCGTTCCGATTCTTCATATGAATAAAATTTTACAAAGGAAATTAAAAGAAACTAGAAACATGAAGATGAGATTTTCTTCTGATTTAAACTCGTCATCTTCAACGATATTTTCTTGCTTAAATTTTCTCAAGTTTTACTCCAACGTGTCTAGAAATGCAGGTACAAGTATTAAAATGACACAGACGCATACATTTGCTTCACAGATAGATTTAAAAGTAGCATTTTTTCCGATAATTATATTTATTTACAAATACAAAATAGATTTTGTTATAAATGTTCTGGTCTGAAAGCAATATATTGTAGTGGTATGTTAACTTCTTTACACTAAAGAACAGCCTGTGAAAATAGGGTGCTCTTAAACAGAATACATTAATCAGAGCGATTCTCAGGATTTATCTACACAATGTTAGGGAAGAATGCCGAGGATTGCAAATTAGAACTGATGAAGGAAAACATTTGGGAAAGTATCAAGTAATTGTCTGAATTAATCTCGTATAATATCGTATAATCTCGTTATATTCACATTATAATCACGTTGTGGTTCAGACCTAGACTTTTTGACATGCTTTTCGAAGATAACAAAAAGTAAAGAGATACATGTAGGTTGGTGGGGGGTCATGATGGCAGGACTCGGGAGTAGAGGAGGGTAAATCATGAGCCTAAATAAATTTCCCAGTTTTCTACTGGTCAATGTTTGGCTTGGCTTGTTTTATTAGATGAGAACTGAAGTACATAATTTAATCGATACTCTTAAATAATTGTCAACAACAGTTATGTTCAGTGACAGCATTAAGTACCATTGTCAACGATGAAAATCATCTCGGCATCTCAGACCAACTGCTGGTGTACCCTTATAGAGCTTACAAGAAATTCTGGGAAATATAACGTCAAAAAATCTCCTCATAGCTTTTTTCTAAAACAAAATTAAGAAAATAAATACTTACAGCCATCGTACTGCCGCTATCCTGGTGCAAATTAAAAGAATCACCAACAGCGACTGCACCACAGTAGGTCTGTATTGTCTCATGCTTATAACACTTTGATAATAAATTCCAAATCGTATCTCATGAAATCATTGAATACTTCTGTCCCATACTGTCGATGACCGTCACATCTCTTTGGCGGGGTCTCTTAACTGTGACTCCAGGTCCCTACACCATAGTCCAACCTCCAAGTGTGTGGTACCAAGGACTGAAGTATTCCATAATATATATACACACACGCACAAAAAAATTCTCTTGCAAGACAAAAAACTTATTTTTTCCACTTCTTTTACTTCGGAAGCACATTCACAAACTGAAAAAATAAGAAGAAAACTCTTGCAGAAAAACCCAGAATTTTTTCATCGTCCAATGACTCTGCCGCGCCACCGCGCATCAGTTTTACCCCGGTCTGGGTCGTAAAACCGCCGAGTAATTTACGACACTCCGAACGTCCGGCCCACTTTTTTCCGATGAAGAATTAACAAACTGCAAATCCCATTTCACCAATGCTTTTACATCCTAAGGGACATTAATCGAATACTGTTATTTTTCCACCATTATTTTATCCGGCATGTTATAGTCTCGCGTCCACATACTTTTTGTAACACCCGTCCGTCTCGGAATTCTCTTTTTTATCGTCGACGGTTTGATCTGCCGCGATGCGTGTTTAAGAAGGAAACCCAGCTCGATAGGCTTGATAAATGCAAAATTTCTCCGTCTTTCCTCCGGTAAAATTTATTACATATCGAATTCAGACATAAGATTCGTTAAAAGAAGAATGGAAAGAATTATTTTGTAAAAGTAGGAAGTTCCCCCTGAAGAATGGATCGCTCCCTCCTGATAGGTGTTCTAAGACGGCGTGGACTTTTAATATCTCTGCCCTCAATATCAGTATATAACCCTATACATAAATCAAACACCTATGTTCTTCGAGACCAGGTAAAGAAAGGACTTTTCTTCTCTTCTAATTATGAATTCTAGTCTTGTATTCAAATGAACTTGTAAGAAAAAAATACGTTACAAATTTTACGATCCTTTGTATCAGTTTTCAAGTGAGAACCGTGTATTGTAAATATTTAACTGTCACCCCTCTACTATGTGATGATTAGAAATGGAGGATTAGATTTCAAGTGCCTAAAGTATACGTCTGCAAATGGAGTTATGAGAAAACAGTCCGTTATCGAAGCGCACAATGAAGTAATTATACAACATATATATATATTTTTAAAAAAAGTTCTTTAACAAGCTGGGACAAAAGAATATTAAGTTTAAAAAAAAATAACTCCTCCCCCGAAACAAACAAATAAACAAACAAAAAAACAAGGCATATTTCCATGAATGCATTATTGAAACATTATAACAGTCAAATAATTATTTGAGACATTTTAGATTCAGTATCTCTCCTTGCCATGCCTAAAACTTTTGTTCTGTAATGAAGGAATAAGATATTTATGATTTTTTTATTCACCGTCTAATAGATAAAAAGTATATTTTGAAAATTTATTTTCAACATTCTCATCAACACCATTTTCAACATGTGTGCAACATTCTTTTAGGGGAAACTTGCAGGAAAAAATATGTACACATCTGCTAGTACGTATCTGATTATCTTATTAATAGAGCTTTAATTCCAACGCAAATTTATGCAGCATGTGAATTTTGTTTTTATTTAAAGAGCAGTAAGGACAATTTCAAAGTAAAATGACATACTTGGGATGTTCTTTATGAAATTATTTCTAGGAAAAACAAAACAGAATCGGAGTAGAAAATAAGTCAGGTTTGCTCTTATTATTCATGTATTAAAATGCAGGAATTAAATTAATGTGATGAAATATCACAGACTCGCAAAATTTAGAACTGTGGGAAAAGAGAAGAGAAATCGTCTCTTGACGTCATTCTAATCGTGTTCGCATTTGGATTCTCGATCTCGTTGAAATTTAGAACTTATGTATTTAAAAACGAGCAATCTGGCAAAATATTTCTTGTGGCCGTTTATTCTCATGGTTTCGAATTAATTTTAAAAATCCCAGTCAAGATTTTTGTTTTGTTTTGTTTTGTTTTTGTTTGTTTTTTTTTTTTTTTTTTTTTGTTTGTTTGGGTTTTTTTTGTTTTTTGTTTTTTTGTTTTTTTTTTTTTGTTTATTTTTTTTTTTAATTCTTGGGTTCCGTACTAAAATTTCTCGACTAGTTTAAGTTTCTTTAATTTCAAAAGTATTCAAACTGTGTCGAAAATACTAGCTTGTTTAAATTAATGGCTATACCAAAACCACCATTTAGGAATTCATTCTTATTATTTTCGCCATTGAAGAATTCGAACATCATGCACTCGGCTGTTTCCGTTGAAAGCCACCGAAAACAGCCGAGTGATGTTCGGAATGTCTTTTCGAACTCCTTGCGGATTCTTAGGACAACACATTGTCTATCTATCTATCGATCGATCGATCGATATATATATATATATATATATATATATATATATATATATATATATATATATATATATATATATATATATATATATATATATATATATATGAAGACAAACTATTTCAATTGGATTCAAAGCATGGGTACTTCCAATCTGTATAGTGATTTTGTGAATTTACATATAAGAATTAAAATAAGTGTCAAGATCCTTTCCTTGCGGGAAAAAAGACTTTCAAGGTTTTGATATTTAGTACTCTGAATCAATATTCCAGAGTTAGTCAAAAATACTCTCTTGCATAATTAAAATGTTAATTAATCGTTTAATATATTAAGAGAGAAGGAAAAACAAAACAAAACAAAATAGCTCAATAGCATTACATAACTTCAAACAAATCCCCCTCCCCCCCCTTTTTTTTTTACACATTTTCTTATGAGAGCATTTTATGGACAACGTTAAATACTTCTCAGCGAAAGCAAAAATTTCTTTGACTTTTAATGGAAATTCAAATAAAGCTCCTTTTCAATTATTTAAAGTGCCCTTCTAATCTTGAATGATAATAAAGATTTCTCAAGTATTTTAATACATTTTCTGACCATAAATGTCTCCCGCTACAGACATACCGATATGGAGTGATTAACGATGTTCAATTATTTAAAAAATGACATCTCTATTTTACTCGTATTATTCATCGTCACGGAAAATAAATGACAATGCATGAATCGTAAAATACAATCAACTCCTCAAAAGAAAAGAAACACATTAATGTCAAAATTCGACAGGGTAATCTTATATAATGCTTGACGCTTTAACATCGTACAACAGGACGAAAAAATTAAGGAAATTCGGGAAATTTGAATATGGAGCATGCGCGGTACATACACTAATTTGTCTTCGTATAAAAATAATCATATATGTTGTATATACAATTTATATAGATAAGAATGATAAATATATTGAAGCTAGCTAGAATACCCAAACAATGCTAAGTTTGTGTAAATTAAAATAAGGTTGTCTTAAAATTCTTTATAATAAAATAATTTAGAAGAACGGATGGAACTTTGGATTTTAGTTATTTGTTTGTGCTCATTTTTATTTATTTATTTTATTGTTTATCTGTTAAAGAAATGTTCATACCATCTGTCATGTGTTTGCTTTTCTGTTATATCCGTCGTTTTACATCCCTAATGGTGAATTTGAAATATGTTCAAATTAGCAGATAAATGATTAACTTGCATATTAAAAATATGTGACCATAGAGCTCATAATTTAATGTAATTTAAGTAAATTATGAAAGGTTTTGTATGGAAGATGACTTTGACCTTTGAAATATCTTAATATGGTAAAGATGTACTGCTGAAGATGAATATGATGCTGAAAAAAGGCGATGATGATACTGAAGGCGATGATATCGATGATGATGATGCGTATAGAAACGAAACATCAACTTTTTCTTTATTTTTGTCGTATCCATTTTTTTTTACCAAACAAGTTCGATTTAATACGTGCCTTTATTAATGTTAATGGTTTATGATTTTTTTTTTCTGGGGAAATATAGAGTACGAAATTCAGCCTCAATATATGACCAACTTCTGTCTTGCTTAGATCTCTATAAAAAAGCACCACAAAGCTTAACCTTGAGGCAATTAATTAAGTTCAAGAGCATGTTGGAGTACGGAATTCTTTTCAGCCCATATAAATATGGTGCAATTTGTGTAATTTATATCGCATCGGATAGGAATGCGCCATTCAAAATATTTACTCCTAATTACCATGAAATATTTCACAGAAAAATGAAAACCATCGAACAGAATCCAATAAATATTTCACATAAAGAAACCGAATATATTACTGTCCAAGTTTTTACCAACTCGGTGTTTTTAATCTCATAAACTACGACGATGTTTTATAACAGAATTTCTCAAGGACAACAGAGAGAAAAAGTTCGTACGACTTAATTTTTTAATTGAAATGAAGCAACTAGATGAAATCAACAGGATTAATATACAGTTAAAGCATATAATTGAGGATATTAACAAGATTCCAATTCCCCGAGGCCAAGACTATTTCTCGAGGCAAAGCCGAAGGAAATAGTCCTGGTCGAAAGGAACGGGAATGTTACTAACTCCCTCAATTATATAATTTTTAACTGTTTTATTATACCGATACAAATTTAACCGGGAATTAGCTTTCGGAGCAAGGATGATTTCACTTGACTAATGCACAGCAAAACGGAGATTAGTCCAGTCACAGCGATTTCTGGGGAATAAATCACATCTAACTATCTTATTTTAGAGAGGGAAAAATCAGCAGAGGTACTAATATTAAAACAATTTAAAGGCATGTAAAAAAAAAATTAATGAAAAAGGGGGAAAAAATCACCAACATGACCTGCTTGGGAGAGGAGCGATAGCTTCACACATGGAACAATTCTTATCCAATTTCTGACCTTGAATTGAGGTCATAACCCTGACCTTAAAATTGATTCCATATTACTTAATATCCTTGAAATTGTTCAAAATAACGGGCCGCGACTGTCCGCTTACATCTTCATTATACATGTATGTGGGCTTTTTTTAACACCCCCACCCTACCCCCCACCCTCCCCCCCCCCAAAAAAAAATCAGTCTCTCTATGTAAAGATATTGTTAAATGTATGAAAACTGATTTTGTTCGTCCTTAAAATCAAAGAATTAAAACAAATGATTAACAAATTAACGTTCTTCGGCGGATTTGAAGGGACACTACAGTGCAGTTAAATATTATATTATCATTATGCATGCGTGAAAAAGAAAAAGTACTGAAATGTAACTTCTACTTAAATTAAGTGTTTGTTGATCCCAAGCCATCTTAACGAAATGAATGCCTAACTTTTGATGATGACATTATTTTTACCACTGTTCAATATGGCTTTGCATTTCTAGATTGGTCATGTAGCGCGAAGTTTTATGTACTCCAAGAATGAAAAACTTCAAACAGCGCGACGCCATAATTAAAAGTCGTAAATTATACGGGACTATATTCATAGTCAAATACTGTCACACAGGAGGAAAATTAGATATAGAAGAAGCGGAGATGAAAAGATTAATAGTTATACAAATTTTATTTTAAACAGAAATAAGGGAAATCGGTTCACGATTTTCTGATTTGACCGACTATTTGGAATATAAAATTTTTCTTTGAACGAAAACAAGTGTATTTTGTAT